CCCCAAAACCCCAAAACCCCAAAACCCCTGGATCATAATTATGAAAAGATTGAATTAAATTATAATCAAATTTAAATTAAAATAATTTCAAATTTCATATGGAATAGCGCCTAGCCTAGTAAGAGAACATTTACGATGATTTATTCTAATTAAAATAACATAATGAAAGCCTATAAAAAGATAATAAGAATCTATATCACACTTTAGAGTAGATGGAGTTAAGATGCTAATTAAATGAACAGAAAATCAATAGAAAGAGGATTAAGAATCAAAGGCTTAGACAATAGTTAGATCAATCATCTTAAGAATATGAGAACTATAGAGTTGATAATTCGCATAAATTAAAGGATTTGTCATAAAAGAACTAACTATTAGAATAGGCATTAGGACAAATGAAATTCAAGCTAGCATAATATGAACACGAATTCAATGAGCTAAAGCATCATTACGAGTAGAAAATTTAGAATTTAGAAAGTCATATAATTCAACAAGAATATCTATTGAAGGAAAGTACTTAGAAGATTATGCTACTCTAATAAATCAATGACCCAGAATATTCCAACAGAGACTCTAAGATTAGCAATATCTAAGATGATGAAAAGCTCATATTTACACCAATATTTAAAGACATCTTAATCTCTTAAGATGTAAACGAAAGTAAAGTAAGTTTAAAAAAAGACAAACTTGCAATTCAAGACAAAATGGACATTGAAAATCCGATAAGTAATCAAGAAAATAAGGAAAATGTCTTTCAACACATAAATGCTAACACCAATAAATCTTAAGTCATTTAAAATTGCTCTTGCCAGGGATTTTATAAATATGAATGTGAAAAATTTATTAAAGAGTTTATTAGAGAATAAAACCTTAGGCTAGCAGAATTAGTTAGCAATCTCGAATGAAATTTTGAAGTCCTACTCGACTAATTACTATATATTTGCAATAATTTAATTTAATTCATAAAAAATGAGGATATCATTTATCATGGGGTTTTGGGGTTTTGGGGTTTTGGGG